CAGAGGCCTGTCATCCTTTGGCCGCTAGCAACCTCGGTCCACAAAGCGTGGAAAAACACTCACTTATTGTGGGCTTTCTTTTCCCTCTTCACTTGGGAAACGAGGCGATCAACATTGCGGCGAGCAATGGCAGTAGCTGCAGTACGAAATAATTCAGGAACGTGCATACATAGACAGGTGAGAGACCAGGGGCCTGCCTGCCTGACATCCCTCGTGGCATCGAAGAATTTACCTCTTTTGTGAACCTTGCAGGTCTGTCAGATATCCTTTCCTGTCAGTCCAGTGAGTCCACTCACTCGTTTGCCTCTCCTGTGGATGATCGAGTTCCCTTTTCGGTTGCATATCTCGTTTGACATATATGCGGACTTCTCCTTGGCCGCCGTTTTAGGAATGAAGCAATGGCGGCCGGACGGAGAGTTCCATCAAACCCTCGCATAGTGTTCACCACCCTCCCATGCCTCGCATGTGTTTAACCAAGAACACACGTTCTTCCCTCCCCAGTTTTCCTACCTTTTCGTCATTCCCACGTTGTCCAGGGGCTCGTCTCTTAACAGGCTTCACGTTGTTTTCAGGGGTCAGGGCTATAGGACGGCACTTTCTTGCAGAAGGATTCTGCCCATGCTTCTGGTCGGTACCTGGGCAGAATAAAGTGATCCAGTTGCCCTGCTTCTCCTTATGGAGTCCTCTTGCGAAGCGAACTCGTTCGGACTGAAGAGAGATTGATGAATGCGTGTTGACCCGTTCCCTCCTCTGGCAGTTGATCAGAACCCCCCTTCTTTCTTTTGTTCGAAGCTATCAGGCTGGGTCCTCTCACCCCCATTCCCGAGAATTTGGCTCCCCCTTCTCCGCGGCATCTTTAGAATTATTCAACCCAGCGCCGCAGTAGGGTGGAAGGCACTTTACTGACGAAAAGATGTCGACCGACTCGGGTCCGTCACCGTTGCCCGGCCTTCCTGGATACGACCCTCAGAACATTCAGCCATGGACTGTCGAAGTTGTGGTTTCGGTGACCGTTCTGGCCGTACTTGCCGTTGTTCTCCGCCTCATCAGTCGTCAAACGAAGGGTCAGAAGCTGTGGTGGGATGATTACTTGATTGTCTGGTCAATGGTGCGTTTTCCATCAATGTCAAATCTCTGACAACAGACCTCACTTTTGGGCATGAGTGAAGCTGATGGTGTTGTAGTTATGGAACCTCGTTGTTGTTGGCTTCATCTTCGCGATGCACTCGGTGGGCATGGGACTCCACGCAGACAAGGTCGGCGTCGACAACATCGTGTTGATGGCCAAGTACCTCGTCGTGGCAGAGATTCTCTACGCCTGGAATTTGGGCTGGACCAAGCTCAGTTTGATGTTGATGTACTACCGCATCTTCCACATCCCATTCTTCAAGAAGATGACGTGGTTCGTCATCTCCTTTGTTTTCGCTTGGGTCATTTGTATCACCTTCCTCTTCATCTTTATCTGCGTACCTGTCGAGAAGCTCTGGTATCCCGACATCCCGGGCAGATGCATCAACCAAGTCGCAACCTGGATCGCCAACGCGGCCTCGACTATCTTCACCGATCTTCTCATCTTGTTGCTGCCTCTTCCTCAGGTGTGGAAGCTGCAGCTGCAAAAGGCTGAAAAGATTGCCTTGACCTTCGCCTTTGGTCTCGGTTTCTTGTAAGTGCCTTCTTCCGCAGGAACCACAAGCACTCGGTCTTGCTCACCGTATCACAGCGTTGTCTTCACTTCAGCATATCGAACGAGCGTTCTCTTCACCTACAGTGGCACCGACCCGAGCTACACCCTCGCCCCAACAGTCGGCTGGACCGCCATCGAAATGTCCGCCGGCATTGTCTCCGCCTGCCTGCCCACCATCCGTCCCGCCATGCAGCGTATCGTTCGAGCCTGCGGATTCAAGGGCAGCATGGGCGGCATGTTCCGCAGCACGACGGCGCTGGGCTTCGGCTCTAGCAAGAACAAATCCAACTTCAGCAACGGCATGTCCTCGCAGGACCCACACACGACCAATGGCGGCTCACAAATCACCCGCAATCTCTCGACGACCAAGCACGGCGCCGGCGAAGATGCCTTTTATCGGTTGCCAGACGACAATGGGTCCGAGGGCACCAGCCGCCAGCCTACACCTCCTCTGGAGGATTCAAAGCTGAGACCAGACACCACTGGGTTTGGGTACTCGGTTTCGAGTTATCCTGTCAAAGAGAGAGACGACAAGAGCGAGGACGAAATTCCCCTTCACGCCATTCGAGTACAGAGAGACTTCAAGCATACGACGGAAAGAGGCTAAGGGATGATCGGAGCAAGTGTATGAAGCACTACAAACAAGGAATTTTGGGTGACAATGATGATGAGATTTTCGTTGGTTGCGAGATCTAGTGGTAGCCTTTACCAATCTCATAATTTTGGTGTACGAGTGGTCGTCGATGATCAAGGGTTATGCGATGGCGTTGAATAGGAGTAAAGGAAAATCAACCCAAAAGTCGGCTACTAGTCCACAAACAAAAGCAGAAAGTAACGAGCTACGTCGGGAACGTAACATGGCGGCAACGCGCCAATCCTGTGGTGGCAAAAGTCATCTATTGAGTCTATAATAATTCACAATGAAAATTCATGTCTACTGTACTCAGATTAGAAGAGGAATCCAGCTCCTTTTGTCTCACCATACAGCTTCTTCGAGTTGAGCGCAATGTTCTTGCAACATCTGTGACAATCTCTGCATCATGCACTTCACAATTATGTCTCTAATGAGTCTGTAAAAATCTAATCTTGGCACAGAAAAAGTGACAGCCAATAAGTGCTCCGATGGCAGAAATCCACCACATCACGAGCAGGAGCCCGCTCATCTCCAGGCCAATGTAGTACTTATTCGAGTACCTCGTCACATACCCAGTACCCCACGTCCAAGCAGCAATCAGCATCACCAGTCCAGGTCTGCTCTTCCTCAGATCCATCCTGAGCGTAGACAGAATGGCGAGTTTCATGAGCGGATAGAGGCCCCAGGCGACAAAGCATGCCAGCTCGAGATGAAATCCAACAACGCTGAGAGTCCCCCCAACACTTTCGATGAGCGACGAAGTCTTGGGCGAGGTGAAGGGCAGTAGAACTTCCCATAGAGCCTGTTTATGTAGTAGTCCGCCCCGCAAGAGCTTGGAGTACACGATGCAGACGGCCACGATATGTGCCGCTCTCGCGTGAAGATACTCGGCGCATCCCAGAATCCACACCAGATAAACGACAAGGGCGGCAATCTTCCGCTTCTCGGCTGCCCTGGCCTGAACCTCATCTGCACCCATCCCTCTCTTGCTTGTGCTTGGATCACCTGGCTTGACATGGCTATATCCCTTAATCGAGCCCAATTCCGCAGCAGTGCGGACCAAGATGCGCTCAAAAACGATAGTCCCAATCACATCTCCAAGAAGCTTCCATGCCCCTTGCGGCGTAAACACTCTTCCGAAAAATCCAATCTCAATTTCCTCCTCAAGGAAAAGCGCTGGACTGCCTACAGCGAGCTTCAGAGTGGCGATGGGGCCCCCGAAGGCACCTACGCCCAGCGCTGGCGCAAGCATCCTCCTAACGTGATTCACCAGCACTGCAAACACCACGACCGCGAAGCTGTGCGCATATCCGTCCCCAAATAGTGACTCCGCTGCTGGTGCGAAGCTCGATTGACGCACTGGTGAAATGAGACGCGCGAGCCGAGATTGATCGCCTACGCAGGGCCGTACAAGGTGGTCAAGCTGTGCCAGCGCGCTGTACGATGCAGCTGGGATCAGAGCGAATGGGTCATCGGAGAGAGACCTGTCGGTAGCCCTTGGGTTTCTGTGCCGGGCGGTTATTGTAGAGAGCTGTTCCTGCGGTGGTGTTGTATGCTTAGATGCTGTTGGCAAAGGATTGAAGCGAAGCGAGTCTGACCCCTCTGGCCGTCGCTGGCGAGAAAGTGAGGAATCGGCCATCGTGGCCTGGACAGGGTTTTCCGCGCTGGGAGCGTCGTGAATGAGGGCGGATGTCCCTCATTCGATCTCTACTAAAAGGTCAGAGACTGAGGTAGGTCAATTGAAGCGACCACGGTGAGTGTTCGTTCCAGTAGTTGGGTGATATGAGGCTGGATTTGAATGCAAGGGGAGAAAGCCACAACACAAATGAGTTTTCCTTTTTTTTTCCCCTGCTGACTCAACGCCAAAGAAGACTAGCTCACTGAGACGTGAGTCCACCAACCAATTCCAATGGCCGGGATAGAACAAAATGAGGTCAATTGATCTCGCAAATGGTTACTCTCCCTACTATATCACTCAGATGATACTGACTACCTTCTCAAGGCCAGCGGGCCCGCAGTGTAGTCTTACGGCGTCAATCCCCCGCCAGGCCCCATAAATCCCGCGCCGGAGTGGGGTGACCCGCGGCAATTTGTGTTCAGAGACGGGAGTCCAATCGCCACGCCGAAGGTTAAAGACGAATCCGAACCCGGTACCGATTGGCTTAGGCTAAACGCGTTTAAGATGGATTATTCGCATAATCTTTTGAATTAGGTGTCAGCGCTTGAGTATTATTACTAGTTCGAGATCCCTTAGAGTCGTCCATTTGAGCACTACATGCGTTCGATTATCGCTTCCTCCTCGGTCAAGTTGGCCTCGGAATCTCAGCAGCCAGACGATCCGCCGTCGCTCTGTGTCTCATACTCCCCAGAAACTGAGTCACTTTTGTGATCCCCCAGGGTGCTGTCTTAGACCGTCGAAGCTATCACCAAGCTAAGCCATGTCAAAACCAGCTTACGTTGTGTCACCGTTTCGCAGATTCTCGTCTAATCTCTCTTGTGCCTAAAGGATCTCGTCTGAAGGATCGTGCATATCGTAGCGCACACGTGATGGAACTAGCCCCTTGCCCCTAATCCATTCAACTCATCTCATTGTCAGCATCAGGGCTCAATCTCATTCTCACTCGCATTCTCCATTCCAAACTCACACTAACATCGTCAAGCCCGCCTCACAAAACCGCCTCGATGGGGCCAATACTCACCGGGCTCATCGCCCTCCCGCTCCTCTGGATCGCCTCTCAAATATGGACTCTATACACGAACTACAAAGCAGCTCTCACCGTAGGCTTGCCAATCATAATATGCCCATATGACCCAGAAAATGTAAGCACGCAGAACCTGCCTCAACAACATCTCAATCGTCAATCGATGACCTCTCAACTGACACATCTCAAGCTCCTTCACGTCGTCCTCTCTGTCCCTTTCCGGCCTCTCCTCAAGCGCTTCCTTCCGTCAACCTTCTTTGCCACGGTAGAACTCACCATCGTGGGCTGGGAGTTTCGCGACAAGTCCGCCGTTCACGACCGCGTCGGTCCGGCCTTCATGCTTGTTACCACGGGCCTCAACCAGCTCATCTGCGCCGACCCGACCATGGCGCACGCCATCCTGAACGGGCGGCGAGAGTTTGTCCAGCCGGATATCGTGTGCAAGGTCATGGGGTTCTTGGGTTCTAACATCTTGACGGTACGTGGAGTGCCTTCCACAAGCCGATCGAACCCCTGTTTTTGTACCTCAACAGATTGGGATCTAATGATGCCGAGTTTATTGCTTCATAAACGGTGGAAAGAATCTCATGCTGACAACATTCTCTCACCTTTTAGTCCAACGGTGAATCCTGGTCCCGCCAAAGACGCGTCGTAGCCCCCGTTCTCAACGAACGCATCAGCCCAGAAGTCTACAAAGCCACAGCCAAACAAGCAGAATCCTTCGTCAACGACATTCTCTCATCCTCTTCCACCAGCACCCCTAGTCTCACCACAACAACAGCAACAACATCAACAACAATCCAAGGCCTCCGCACAATCGCCATAAACGTCCTCACCAAGATAGCCTACGGCGACAATAAGCCTTTCGCCATCACCCCTCTCCCCGGCGACCCCTCGGCACCAATGTCCTACGTCGACGCAATCTCTCTCTGCACAGAACTCCTCGACCTCGCCGCCTTCATCCCCATCCGAATCCTGCGGCTCCCTTTTATGTCCAACGTGGTTCAGACGCTAGGGGCGGCGTTACATCGACTGCCTGGTCTGACGGTGGACATGCTGGATCGTGAGAGGCAGCGGTTGGCCGAGGTATCATCTTTGCACGGTCTTTCGGACGAGATTTTGACCACGGCAACGGTGGGAAAGACGGACACGATTATGAGTATGCTCGTCCGCCTTTCAGACCAGGAAAAGAGCCGTGCTGTTGCCTCAGACAAGGAGGCTCCCTCGAAAGCTAGCACCACCGTCAACAACAGCAATAGCAATCCCAAAGCATACCTCACAGAAGAAGAAATCGCAGGTAACCTCTTCATCTTCACCGCCGCAGGCTTCGACACGACGGCGAATACCCTAGCATACGCCGTCACTCTTCTCGCAGCGTATCCTGAGTGGCAGGCCTGGATCCAGGCCGAGCTCGATATCGTCCTGGGCCCTCCCACATCATCATCATCGTCCTCGTGGGAGCAGGAGAAGCGAGAAGTACCGGACTACAGTGTCGTCTTTCCTAAACTAACGCGGTGTTTGGCTGTTATGGTGAGTTGTTCCACTGTTACGTATAGTATTCTACTTGTCACCCACTCTACCTAGCTCTCTCCACATAACGTTGTCTTCGGACCCCTCCAAACCCCTATCCAGATCTCTCCTCTCAGAAAACCAGGCCTCTTCTCCTCAAGACACCCACAGATAGAATCAACAAGAGACTAACTAACCCGCTTAGTTCGAAACCCTCCGCCTTTTCCCGCCTCTGACCCATCTAATGCGCTCAAACACAGCAACGCAAACCCTCCCCAGCCAGATCCCAAATCCAACGACACCACAATCCTCAACATCAACCTCACCACCATCCATATCCAACTCCTCATACACAATTCCCCCTTGCACAGTCTACATAAACACAGTAGCCCTCCACACCTCCCCCAGAACCTGGGGCCCCGACGCTCTATCCTTCAAGCCAACCCGATGGCTCACCACACCCCAGTCATCCTCATCCTCCTCATCACCACAGCCTCACAACCAACCTCCCCGCGGCACATTCCTCCCCTGGTCCTCAGGCCCCCGCACCTGCCCAGGCCAAAAGATGGCCCAAGTCGAATTCGTCACCGTCCTCGCGACGCTCTTCCACCAATGCACCGTCGAGCCAGTCCCCGAAGACGGGGATGAAAGTACTACTACTCAATCAACGACAACAACCGAGATGGCAGCAGCACAGGCTAGACAGAGACTATTGGACTTGATGCAGGATAGCCAGCCTAGGCTGACACTACAGATGAACCGTTCCAAGGATGTATGCTTGCGGTGGACCAGGCGGTGATGGTGACTACCTAGGTAAGACGTGGATACCAACCAGGGTCACGATGTAAGCGCAGAAATACAATACTCTTGTGAAAGAAAGAATATTTCAAGTTCTATTTTGATGAATCGATACCCTGAAAGCACTGTCTGCCATAGACTGAAATGCAGTGCCAGACTTTTTCGCTTGTAGCTGTAGGTATTCAACGCCATTCCCACCCGTTCCCGCCGCAGTTCAGAAACTCTCGGCGGGATTAAACCAAAATTCCAGATTCATTGCCTGCTTTGTTCACCCCCATCGTACAACGCGTCATTAACATCCCACATCTTAGGGACGTGGGAGGCAAGGGTATTACAATAAGCCCATCGGAGGGGCTAAATATGCTACATTAGGCCAGATTTCCGTTGATGGCAAATTTCCTGGATCGCGGACTTTTTTCTGGTCTTCACCAGCTCCTGGCAGCGATTGGCTTGATGATTGCTAGATTCCTCAGCCAGCACGATTCCGTAGACTGCTGGCTCGACCAAAGCCCGGCAACCATTTTCGTTTGTGCAAGGGCGCGCCACCGCTCGCAGAGTTGCTGGTGGGCGTGGTTTCTGCCGAAGCAGGCGTTCCAGTCGTGTTCGGCAGGTTCGGAGCGTGGTTTGCCATAGGTGTTGCCGGAGCTGCAGGACTGTGATCATACACAGGCGCACCCTCGTCAAAGCTGCCAGAACGAGCGGGACGAGGATTTCGTAAGATGGGGGGCGGTGTCGCGCTGGCTCTATCCTCCTCACCTGGGTGGTTTCGCTGCACCCATGATGGGACACCCATGGGAGCGGCTTGGGTCGGAGTTGGTGCCGGTGGCTCGGCTACCGGTGCTGAATGTTGGACAGGGCTCGGAGCGGTGCTGCCTCCGATGGATCTTCTGAAGAAGTTCAACCGATGCCCACGGGGCGCAGCAGTCGAAGAAGGGGGATAGTGGCTGCTGTCCTTGGAGCGAGCACCAGTCTTTGGATCATGCTGCGGGCTATTTGCCACCGCCTCTGCCAGCTGGATCATTTGCGCATCAACACTGTTGCGCCTGGATCCGCTTCGTGAAGGCGACTTGCGAAGTTTGCCGTTGATGGGCATATTCTTCGAGGAAGTCTGGCCTGTTTTAGCACCCAAGCTCGACCTCCTATTTGGCGGAGGCAGGGGTTGGACCCCATCCTGGAAGAGAGCATCCTCGGCCGGATTACGTTGCGGCGGAGGGAGGCCCGGGACCTCGAATGCGCCACCAGATGAACCGAACATGCCAGCCGTATTCCATCCGCCGGACGGAGGAAAGCTGAACAGGTCCGGAGATTCACTCCGGTGTTGAGCAATGTACTTTGGGTCCTTGCCTTGCTGTAGCCAAATGTCGAGGCTTGAGTCAAGGGAGTGCATCGAATCTCCATCAGAGTCCCATTCCATTTCCCTGTGGTTTGATATTGTCGTTTCATCTGCCGACCTCGGACGGGGAATCAAAGGCGGCCGTGAGTCGAAATAATGAGCACTGGCTGGCTCTTCGTGTCCAGCAAATGCAGAGGATTGGGTATGTTGGAATACCGGTGCACCTCCGCCATGATCCCCCTCATCATCCTTGGACGTTCCCCTTGACACTGATCGATAGCTATGTTGATCCGACACAGCTCGTTGCTTCGAGAGCGTGTCGTTTGACGTCTTGAATCTTCGAAGCGTTGATGTGGAGATGGTGTCTGGTGTCGGAGGAAGACCTTCACCGGGGCGTGAAGCTGGCGCATCTGTTGTCACTCTCCGCAATGCTTCACGCTTCGCGTCCTTAGCCTGCTTCTGCGAGTGTCCTCTTCCTGCCATCGGAGAAGAGTCTTGGGCGGGCAGACTGTCCAGATAGGTATGATCGAGCCTCGCTAGCTTTTGGAGAGGCGAGGTGTGGTCGATGATATCGTGAAGCGACTGAAACTGACCTGGACCAGGAGCCCGACTAGTTGAACTGGACCTACTCGGGCGACTGGATCGTGTTGACATGGTGGTTGGTGGTCTTTGTATCCTCGACTGGTCGCTCCCGTATGATGCCTTTCGAGGTGGCGCGGCGTGTGGTAAAGCACCATCCACAGAGTGTGGCTCGTCTGCATCGGCCACAATCGTTCGATCCTGGTCCTCCTTTTCGCCATACACACTTACAAAGGAACTTTCGCTGAGGACGCTCAGGCTCGGGCTCGTCATGCCATTACCACGACGCGGATCCGTCTCATCCACTCCCTCCGTGTTGAGCCTTGGTAAGCTGAGTAGGCTACCGCGCGAGCTGAGGTAGACTTTTCGTAGGTTCTCGGTATTTTCGGTATAGTCCGACAAGAAACTCGGCATGCGGTTGAGCGTCTTGGCATCATCTTCAAGTCGTGCCAGATCCGCTATTCTAGGCTTGGGCGTGGGGCTTCTGAGGCGAGATTCGAGGTCGTCGAGGGGTAGGAAACCGGCTGCGTCGACCATTCGGACCATTTCCCGCTCCTTTAGTAGCGTCTCAACCTGGGCCTCAAGAGTCACTATCATCTGGACCGCCTCCTGCACAGCCTTGTCTCGCTTCTCCAACTCATCGAGTAGCTTGTCGTTCACGTCGTCTATCTGTGCTTTCTCGGACTCGAGGGCGTCGACACGCTCTTCGAGCGCATTCTGTCGTTCGCGGCGGTGGAAGAGCTCAAGCTTCAGGTCAAAGTTTTGCTTGTGCAAGGTGGAAACAGTCTATCGGGGCAGCTATCAGCAAGGGTAGTGTACGAACATGTAATCCAGGGCTACTTACTGCTTCCATCTCCTTAGCGCCCATGCCTTTACCCTTTGTAGATTCTCCATTGCCCCCACTTGATCTTGGCCGACGTCCATCAACGGACTCGCCTTTCACGGGTGAGCTTTGCGCGTGTCTTGGTGGTAATTCTACGGCGGCGGCCATGTCTTGTGTTGACCGTACCGCGGCCAACCTGTCGGCTTCCTCCCTTCTCCTCTGGAGTTTGTCCTGAAGATAGGTGGACGCGGCGCTCTGCCTTCCAGAGTCGGAGACTCGGTCTCTTGACACAGCGGATCCAGGCCGAGAGGTCACCATCGACGGAGTGCAAGAGCTATGATGGAACTTGTGGGCAGGATGAGCACTGGGTGGTCTTGGCGAGGTAACGAACTGTGAAGTCGAACTATTTGCGCTTCGAGGGGTCCGTCGGGTCGCACTGGTACTTGTACTTGATCTCGAAGTTGGACGTGGGTAGACCGGAGAGGGAAGTGACCTCTCGCGGTCGCGCGACTGTGTCCGCGCAAGACTGTCCATCGTGTCTAGGGAAAAGCAACTACGGCGTGCTGTGCTTGATCCGATTGCACGAGAATAATCGCCCGTATGCAAGTCGACCTAGAAATTCGTATTATCAGACGACTCTTTGGCCCAAAGGATCACGCCGGCAGTCGGATTGGAGTGGTGAGTGACCGAATTGGGCGACAGCAAGACGTCGTGAATTAGGATGATGCCTGTTCGAGGTGCAGAAGCGCGAATGGCAGTTGCGTCGAGCTAACGCAGCTGAAGGGGGGGATGAGCACGGGAAGGGCAGCCGACGTCCTTGGTAACTGAATAATAAGGAGAGGAATCCCTGGGGACGGCGCGGCAGCGAGAGGAAAATTGCAGTAGTAGCAAAGCCGTCGAGTCGTGGCTGTGGATGCGCTTTGAAGGTATAAGAGAGCTGCTATTGCGAGAGAACAGGCCGGGACCTGGTTTCTGCAGCTTTGAGCCTACGCGACTGCTGATGGCGGCATGTGGTGGAAGTGCCGTGGAATGCTCTTTCTTTCTGGGTGATACGTAGTACTGAGGGGAGAACCGACGGGCTGTCTAGACAGGAGGTTTGCGTTACGTCGGATGGCTCGCCATGAACCGATGGGAACGTGGAAAGGCAGGGCAAGCGGGTGAACTCTCGAGTCGGGTCTTTTCTCTCCCACAACGTCGGATCGGCAGTTGGGTCCAGCGTTGGAGGTTGGGCCGTGTCGCAGACGTTGTACCGCCGCAGCGCAAATGTCTGTCGCGATGGCGCAGGAATGTCTCAATTGACGAGGGGCAGCGATGCTGGAATGTCTCGATTGCGTGGTGCTTGGCGGGACAAACGGAGGGTCCTGATCGCAAGAACCCGGGCAAGCTGACGAGAGAGGCTGGGAACGCAGGGCAAGCAAAGAAATACTGGGTATCTGGAACTGAGCTGAAGTAAGGAATATTGATGGTGGTGGTGATGATGATGATGTTGATGATTGCTGGCAACGAAATGGAATGGTCCTTAGCCAATTGCCACCGTCAATGTCGTGTCCGCGAGCAATGCTGGTGTTGCGATGGACAACAATGTCGGCGTCGTCTAACAAATGACAGGCGACCTGGTCGATAATGGTGGAAAAGTAGCTAGACTGCTTGAGAACCTCGCTCCGAAAAAAAGACCCTTGAGCTCCAGGGAGCAGATAGCGACCGATCGACGGGGCTATCTTGAGAGTTTATGTTGGCCAATTGAAGTTTAGCGATGCGAAGACGGCGACAGGGCTCGTCTCTTGGTCGAGATGACTGATGATAGTAGTGGCAGTGGTTGTGGTGACCCTCGCACAGAGAATCTGGCGATGACAGTTCGTGGAATGGGAAATGGTGAATGGTGAGGATGACGGAGCAGGTCGCACATTTCTTTCTGTGCCCTCTCTCTATTGCTAATGATCGGCCGCGAGTCGGAAAAAGAAAGAGACAGCCACGGCTGGCGGCGCAAAGGGAACCTTGGGTGACGGGAATACGCACACGCACACGCAGGAGAAGGAAGGGGAAGGGCGTCTGATGCAACGGAACAAAAGTGACGAGGGTAGCTGCAGGGGGCTTAAGGGTGTGGAACTGTGTGGATGTGACGGGACCAACTGCAGGCACGCGGGGAGCCAAAGAGCAGCAATTCCAATGTTGAATTATTCGCCAATGGGCAGCAAAGCGAGTGACAAGATGTGGGAGACCGCAGACCCTTGCAGGTGAGAAGAGTGGGATGAGGTGGGATGTGATG